AGCATCTGAAGTGTACTTTTTGTGTACTTTCGGGTGAATAATGTGGCCTTTTTGGCAGATTAACTAAAGGTGGGGAAAGGTGAGGCTGAACTTACAATGGGTTTTAATGGAGACATGTTGAAAGTTTGTGTCACTTCATGCCCTCAAGAGGCATTTTGTTTAAAGGAGACCTATCATGCAAAATGCACTTTTGTACGTCTTTTATACATGAATATGTGTCCCCGGTGTTCCAGGGAGCTCACCAAGTGTCAGAAAACACAACCCTCTCTATTTTCCTCCATACCCAAATCTCTAAAAAAGGGGCTGCAACGGATCTGATAAAAACTGATCCAGATTTGAACACTGTCCTGACGTCAGGACGGTGGCGCTACGGCTATTGGGCCAACTCCACCAATCAGGAGGAGACAGCCACGGCCATTGCCGTTCGAAAGCGCTGGAGACGCTGTAGTACATATGCCAGGCCTGTAAGTGGCGCTGTAGTCTGCCACAAAAGCAGTGAAGAAGACTTGGTTACCATGGTTACCCTTCTGTTTATTCTCCGCTGTGGCTTTCTTTCTCCCTCCCCGTCGAGGCAAGCACTGTAATTCTCTCCGGTTAGTCCACCAGCAGATGACAAACACCCACCTCTCCGCCTCTTCCAAGGAACGAGGGGACTGTGCGGCAGAGTTTCAGTTTCAGTTACTTTCACCGGTCAAGATGTCCGTTAAAGTTTAAATCTTCCGGACAAAATTAGAAAAGTGCCGGTCAAAGGTCTTCTTTGTCATTTATTGAGCTTTAAAACAAATGAATAACGACTCTATATAATAAAACACGGAGGACGGAGATCTCTTTTTCTCCCCCTCTTCTGACAGCCTAGCAGCTGATCAGAGCACGGCTCCCCTCTCCTGCAGGGGGGCGTGGTCAGCAGAATCAGACCCGTAGACAGCAAACAGCACATAGAGCGAAATGAGGCATGGCTAAAATGCATGATCTGTTTGGTATTTTGAAAACAGAAACGTATAAATATACCTTATATAGGTATGGCCCTACAATATATCATTTAAATATAGCATGATAGGTTTCCTTTCATTATTTTGCTTATTTTTTTTTTTATCTTTCAAGCTACTACGTTTTCCTACGTTTGTCATGAAAGATTATGTCTCAGGAATGTAGGGTTTGGGAATTATGGCAGGTTTAAAAGAAAATATGAAGGCAAAATTAAATCTGTCCTCCACTCTAGCCGTGACATCAGGCCAAGACCAAGGTCTGAACAATGTTTAATATTAAAAGTATGAATCAGATTTAAAAGTTGTGTTACACGAAGATGTGTAACATTTTAAAGTTGGAATGAGGTTTCTGAATGAAAGTATGAAGGAGCAGTTAGCAGTTGAAGAAGGAGCAGTTAGCAGTTGAAGTTGCATGAAGATTGTTGAAGTCTGAAGAGTTTCTCCATTGACTTCCATGTTAAAAATGTGATGAATTATGGGATGTATCTCTGGAATTATGAAAGTTATGAATGATAAAAGTAATAGCCATCGATTCCCGACCGAGCTGAACGTTTTGATGTTTGAACGGAGTTTCTGCGATGTTCAATCTGGGAGAAAAAGAGGCGCAAAATAACCCGGCGGAATAATAAAGAATTTTGTGCGTAGCATAACAGATAGTGGGAATGCTGTGTCAGCATTCCAACTAAAATAGTGCAGTGGAAACACATTATAAATGGCATTTAAAAACAGTCATTAAAAAGCAAAGAGATTAAAATAAACATAAAACAAGCTAATATAGAATAAGGTATGAAATACATGCATACAAGTTACAGTGCAGTGTAAGATATGAATAGTTCATTTAAAAGCAGCAGCAAAATGAAAGTATTTTATCCTGGATTCAAATAGTAAGAGTTGCAGGGGACCTTCAATTTGGTCTTCATTCAGTAACAACATTACATTATCATGAAATCTCTTTTTCTGATGTTTTGTGAAAAGTGATTGAGTTTCAAATAAATACCCAATTGCTGAACTATGTTTTCGAGTCTTATGAATTGACATTGACAATGGCATATTATGACTATATGACTCAACACACATGACTTCAAATCAATGCAAACTTTATTTCCACATCTCAAAACATCTGCAGTTTGACCAAAACAGGCACTATATTGATTCTGACTTTTCTACATCCAACTCACAGGTTTATCATTACTTTGAGAAAAAAGATTATTAATTTAACCCTTTTAGAAGGGTCATGGTCATTTGTTCTGGGAATGTCATTTTCGAGCCTGAGACCTGAAAAACATGCTCAGAGCTTAACAGGTTCAGACCCCCGACGCCAAGATCAAAATCTATATTATAGCAACCGGTCTATGTAGGCCAGGGGTGCTCAATACGTCGATCGCGACGTGGGTAGATCGCATGGTATTTAAACAATTTTTTTTAAAAGATTTCTTTTTTTTCTTTTTTTTTTAAGTTAGCCTATCATCCATCCTTACTATGGCATTTGCCACTTGATTGTCGTACAGGTAAGCCAGTCTGAGATCTCATTTTTTCTAACACGCAGTTCACCACGCATGGGTTGCAAATCACCGACGAGCTGATTACCTAGTTAGCCTTCCAATTTATACAATTCTACTAAAGAAAGGGTATAACAATTACCAAACATGTACTGAGTTGTATTGTGCCATACGGGTTCATGCAGTTGTGAGGGGGCCTCACCTCCTCATCTGAAGCTATTATGCGCTAATGCGGTGCAATTAGTGTAAGCGCGCCACAGTTTATCCTTCCGGCGCTCGTAGTCCACTAGCACCCTCCACCCCCCACCCACCCCCCACCCACCCCGCTCGTGACACAGATTGGGCAGGGGCGGCCCTGTAGGTAGCTCATGTGGACTTGGTCATATTAAAAGTAGCTCCCAAGCTGAAAAGGTGTGGGCACCCCTGATGTAGGCCTACCGGCCCATTCCCCAGAGACAAACATCAAGGAAACAGGTTTAATCCTCTTCTTAGTTCGCTGTGCTGTTGTCAGGCTGTGGTGGTCTGAGGCCAGGGCAGGCTGTTGTTGATAGCCTATACATGTGGCGCTTCTGAGTGGTTGTGTATGTCCGTGTGTGTGTGAGCGCATCAGCGTGCACTTATGTTTGGGGCGATGGGGGGGGCCCAAAACAATATTTGCACCGGGGCCAATCACAACCTTGTTACGCCACTGACCCTACCCCTACACACTCCCCCTCCGTGACGGAGTGAACTCCGTGGGGTGACACATGAGGCTCCCTCCTGTCAGATGGAGGGAGTAACTACAGCGGCAAGCTTTGGGACAAACTCCCCTCTCTCCGGCAGAAACAGGAAATGCCGTAACTGTATGTAACAACGGTTTCAAATCAGCTCCTCTTTGACAAAAAATGTAAATTAATAACTCAAAAAAAACTCAAAACATCTTTAATTGTGTTACTTTTTTGTAAAGCTCTTTTAGTTTTAAACCTGATGTTTATAAGCTTCTTAGTTTTTGCAACAGTCTGTAAATATACACAACTTTATAATAAAATGCACACATTTGCCTTTTTCTAGACTAAACACAGGTATGATCCTAAGTTAAAAACATATGAGGTTATCATGAGGTTGTTAACATCGCAGTTTATCAGTGGATGTTTGCTGGAACTACTTGTAAACAGCGTGTTTCCTGACGGACACACACAGCGTTGAGACCGGTCTCCAGTCAGCACCGCTGCAGACTCGGGTTGCATTCGAATAGTCCATTTAGCTTAGGAACCTTCCTAACGGAGTGAAATGACCCGGAAGTCCCTCAGTGGCAGCCATGATAAGTGCCGTTCGAATTCTCTAAATTAAAAGGAAAGGAGGTTTCAAACTTCCTTTATAACCTCCTTTAGCTTAGGAACCACTGGACCTCCCTAACCGAAAGGAGAGGAGAAAATGCTGCCCCACAATGCCTTGCGGCCGCAGCATTTGCTGTCACACAACAGTCGGCCGTTCACGGAAACAACCGATTATGAACGAGAAATGATATCATGAAAGTTACGGTGCTTATTAAGCATTTTAAAACGTATGTGGTAAGTTGCCAAAGTGCTTTGTTTTGAACGTTCATCAGTATTATAATCAAAAAGAGAAATATGAACGTTAGTTTTTACTGAAATGATCAAATAAAGTCAACATTTCACAGTCTTTACTGAGCTGTGTGGGGTTTGTTCAACTTTTAAAAGATGTTTGAATGGTGATATACACAGTGATAGATGTTAAGGACTAACCGTTATAATAAATACATTTGTATTGATTTTAAGATCTTTTCATACAATCATACGTATTGGGATCATTTGTATTAATGTGGACCGGAGGGAGAGGGTGACGAGCATAAGTTTCACTTTCCTTTTTTATTTCAATTCCAACTTTGGTCATGAAGAATATGTTTCTCTGTTGTCCCCGTTCATAAAGCATAAAACAACAGCATCAGAGCACGGTGCAGAGTCTCTAGATGAGTTTACAGTAGTCCCTCGTTCTTATTAAACATCCATGTTGTAGTCCGCTGTATAGAAAACTGTAGTTTCCATAGTTTCCCCACAGCAGCAGGCGCACATTTATGACCTCTGCTGGCGCATCATAAACACGTCGGATAGTGAAAGTGCAGTCGGATTCTCTAAAGTGCCGCAGTCTCTTCTCCTAAATCCTTTTGAATTCTCCTATCCACTATCCCTTAACCCCATGACGTTTCACTCCGAGGTCAAGGAATAGACGATAGGGTTAGAACTTAGGAGCTGTTTTTTTGGAGTATTCGAACGCAACCTCGCTGTTTGAGGGCTTGATAGCCCACTCCCCCTCCACACCGCTCCACACTCGTTGGTTTGGAACAGCATTTAATGTGGCGGACCCTCCGCGCGAACGCGCAAACGGAGGGGTAGTGTGTAGGGGGCGGTTTGGGATTGGGCCTTAGTCATCGAGTGGCGCCGAAGGACTGTTTAAAATGCAAGCCCCCAGGAAGTGTGCCAGACTCTGAGGAAAATATTCGTTGTGGCCAAACGGCGGTACTACACTTCCGTTAGGTTGCTGGGCCCGGAAACACTTTTTCCCATTGACTTACATTGGGAAAGAGTGGTCTGTAAATCGTTGGATAATTTTTTTTAAACTAAATAAACTACCCAGTATGAACGTTTGTATAGCCCTTATTAAAAACATTCGGTCCTCAAGTTGTAAAATGTGCTAATAACGTTATTCTGAGAGTTATTTTCCTCTGCATTATGAACGCGCATCTAACCCACGGGACCGCGCCGCCCGGCACGTTCATGTTACGTGTTCAGTACTACATGAGTTTTACCTTTACCCATGGATGCACAATAAGAACGGACCATATCGCCTTACTGCCAGCCCACGGAGCTGTAATAATGGATATATTGCACATGTTTGCTGTAATTCATCATTTGTAAAATATTATACTACATGGGCTGTATGATGTAAATCTTGTACCGTAAATGTTGTATTAAACAAAGACTTAGTTAATATTACCGACGTAGATGAACGTCCCTGTAGCTTCTTATTGCACTTGCAATATAGCCTACCATTAAAGGAGTTGAACGTAGCTGTTTGCTATTACTATATAATACCACGCAGGGATAAGCCAGAGCGTACAACCTTTGCATGTGGGCACAACACGTTTTGACCATAGACTGTAGGGTTTTGACCTTTATATATACAGTCTATGGTTTTGACCCAGTTTGATTCATTCGCTATACCATAAGATATCGCCCGGGGAAGTCGTCATACTTATACATATATCAATAAAGATATATGTGTCAAAGCTCTAATCAAATTAACAGTTGTATTCATTGTATTAATTATAATTGTATAAGTATACATATATATATATATATATATATATATATATATATATATATATATATATATATGTATATGTGTGTTGTATATTTATACACACAAATGAACAACCTTTGTTAAATAACAAGTTGTGTTGTAGTGTTTATTTTAGTGTTGTTTTATGCTTATCCACATTTTGATTTCAGAGCACAGGACAGGAGAATGTTGGGCACAACATAAAGTTCAACAGTGAAGCTGGCAATGCTGAACAAAACCATCTAGTTATAATATTTATTCAGCTGAAAAAGTCAAAGCTCTACGAAAATGTAATTAAAAATATATTATATTACGAATTACTATGGGGGAAAATATAATTTCTGTAGTCATTCTTCTATCATTATTGTCTGCCTGGAAGTATAAACTAAAGCAAAAATGTAATCAAACTGTCTTTCTGTCTGTCTTTCTGTGACACAGGGAGTGGACTCCCTGGTGTTGGAAAGTGTGATGTTCGCCATCCTGGCAGAACGAACTTTAGGACCAAAACTGTACGGCATCTTTCCCCAGGGACGCTTAGAACAGTACTTTCAGGTATAATACATGCACACACACATACACCGTACACACATTCATACATAAAAAAAGTATTGAACATTCAGGGTTAAAATCTCATCTGAATTTCTATTGAACACATTCCTTCTACTTTGTAAGTAGTATGTAAATCCATAAAATACTTGAGCTAGGTCCTTAGGTGGAGGAAGCATTGGTATCATCTTTATTTTATCTGTTTTTCCAGAATACCCGCATGCGCACAGATCAACTTCCCGATCCTGCCATATCGGCTGAGATTGCAGCCGATATGGCAGGTTTCCATGAAATGATCATGCCCTTTAACAAAGAGCCCAGTTGGCTATTTGGGACCATTGACAAGTAGGACATCTTGGTATCTCCTTCTTTGACTAGAACTATCTGCTTTGGATGTAATGTCTTCTTTTTCCTTTAGATACATGGATCAAGTGATGAAGCTTAATTTTGTACGTGAAGCACATGAAATTAGACCTGCCTGCTGAGCTGGAGAATCTACCGTGAGTTGGGGCACAGGAATCAAATATACATAAATATAAAAACAATATTGTGATGCATTAAGTGACTATCATAAAGTATAAATAAAGCCTCAAAGTTAGGGTAAGTAGAGATGAGGAAAAACAGTGTCAGTGAGGGAGCAGAATCTTTTTCAAAATGTTAGAAAAATAATCACAATTAAAATAAAATACAATATACACACAAAAAACAACTATTGGCAATTATAACTCTTGCAGATACCCATGTACGAGGACAAAAACGTCAATACAATAAATATCATATTTTTCTCTTTTTTTAAATCACAACTTAGCAGGAGGGTCATTGAACATGCAAACCCTCGTGATTCAGAGTTTTACAGTCAGTGTCAAACACTGATTTTGAGGGGAAGTAGAAACACGATGATGCAATCTCTATTGCTTAAGCCAAGTGTCAACAAGATGTTGTTTGGTCAGAGCCATCGCATATCATTTGCTGTAATTTACCCACTGTAAATACTGTTCAACTGCTCACACTGTATCTAGCACATGCATACCCTTATTCCATTGTCTTCACTCAATATTCTGTGCAATGACAATAATGTTGAACCTAATCTGATGTCATGTAGATTTTAGGAAGTTGGTCAGGTTAGCTTGTTACTACTGACGTTTAAGGACCAGCACCAAAAACCTAAAGACGTGTGTGTGTGTGTGTGTGTGTGTGTGTGTGTGTGTGTGTGTGTGTGTGTGTGTGTGTGTGTGTGTGTGTGTGTGTGTGTGTGTGTGTGTGTGTGTGTGTGTGTGTGTGTGTGTGTGTGTGTGTGTGTGTGTGTGTGTGTGTGTGTGTATATATATATATATATATATATATATATATATATATATAAACTAAATGATTATATGTTACATAAATAAAACTATACAGTTATTGTTTTATATTTCTTGCTAACAAGAATGTAATCATTGGGACAGGACACTCTCTATTTTCCTTTTTAGTCTAATAACTGACCTTTGTCCCAGTCCCTCCACAACTTCACAGCTGAGTCTTCCAGGTGGGCTGACCTCGGCAGCCAATAGATAATCAGCACAGTGTTTATTGTCACTGTTTGTCTATGAGCACAAGTTTTATCTTTTAGATATGTAGCAGTCTCCCACTGACGTCTGACACAGTTATGAGACTTCAAGTCGCCATCTTCTTGGCTTGATGTAAACAATTAAATTAATCAGGAAAAACGCACCACTCCACCCCCCTCAGTATATTTCATATTGTAGTTACATCATCCTAAGCTTCTGGAGAATTGAATAACACTTTTGCCACTTATTAAGAAGTAGCTTTCTCAAAAATACACATAATGATCATATTGGGTGATCTTATGGGTTACATACATAGATGCTTTGAATTAATCAGTATATTTTTGCCTAGTATGCCTCTTAACAGTACAATTTGAATGAATAATTATTAAAAATAAAATACCGTCATTGCTGCAGTGCAGTAACTGTAGTCTCTAGGACATCATGTTTTATACTCGCCTCATTTCTTTAAAATTGGTATTAATGATTAGCAAGTAACACCGCCTGCAAATGCATCACTGACAAGCTCCTTCTTTCCTCTCCCTTTCTCTGTCATCATCTACTCTGTTCATCTGACTCTTTCCTCCACCACAGTGCGCTGCTGGCCGAGACTAAATCACTGGTGGTATTCTGCCACAATGACGTCACGGAAGGTAAACTTTAATCCTCAAACTTCTAACTTTGGCTAATGGATCAACCCTTAGCAGTTATAACCATAAGTCAAAGAAAGGCTTGGCTGTAGTTATTAATAGGAACTGCTCAAATTCATATGCATCTTCCTGTATTTGAAGATGAAGAATACAAGGTGGCGGTCGGGGAATAGCTTTTTAATAAATGGGAATTACTCTTAGAATAACTACTTAATCTGAACTGACATATTAAATATATGTGGAAAACTGCTAAATATACACATAGCTGATTGTGATATATGTGATTATGCCAATATATCTACTGTGACAGTTTTTGCAGTTTTTGCACTTTGCAGCTCTTCCTCCTTACAGGCAAGTCAAGTTTGTCCACACTTATCTAGGAAAACAATTGTGTCACAGAGCTGGCTTTGTACATTGGGACATTGTCATGGTGAATGAGATAAGGTCTCTCTTCATACTGCCACAAGTTTTAGGATTTACCACTATTGAGGGCACCCACGTGGCTCTCTTGTCCCCTCTCTCCTACTTTCCTGTCTATTAGTTTTGTTATCTAATAAAGCCAACATTGTCACTCAAATTGGAATTAAGTGTCCAACCCAGACCAAAAGTACATTTGAGCATGTCCACATTCAAAACCTCTCAATCGCCAACATATATACGTTCTACAAAAAGCACTTCTTTGTGCAAAACAATGTGACTCTTGAAGTTCAGTTATTGCCGAAGAAGTCGATGTGTCTTAACCCCACAGAGGCTGAAATTATTATTATTATTATTATTATTATTAAGAGAAAATCTTGTTTTGCTGCTGCAGGTGCCATTCTGATACTGGAAGACAAGGACCCCAACACCACTGACAGACTCATGCTGATTGACTTTGAGTACAGCAGTTACAATTACAGGTAAAGTTGTTGATCAACAGTAATGATTCATTCTGATAAGAAATATGTTGCCTGGACTACACTTAGATGCATACACAAAGATTGTGCTCTTTTGTTTTTAAATGACTAATGTATTACTCTTTCATGTAGGGGGTTTGACTTTGGGAACCATTTCTGTGAGCAATGTATGTATGACTACACCTATAACCAGTGGCCCTTCTACAAAGCCACACAGGAGAACTATCCCACCAGAGAGCAGCAGGTCAGTTTAAACCAGGGCTGAATAAAAGTAGACTAACCTATTAAAGGTCCCCTATTATACTGTTTTTCATCAATATATAATAGGTCTCAGATATATACAAAACATGTCTCTGAAGTGTTTGGCTCCAAATACCAAGTAGATCATGCATTGTAGCATCCCATAATCCCCTCTGTTTCAGCCCTGTTTCAAAAGTGCTGATTCGCTGTCTGTTACTTTAGATGAAAATAAGGAGCCACTCCCCACGCCCCTACCGAGATATTTGGTTAAAAAGAGTCGGGGGGGGGGGTTACCTTGGTTAGTGATTGGCTAATGGTTACTCAAGCCAAAAAATCGTTATGACATCATAAAGTGGCCAACATCTGATCAGCTCATTTTCAGACAGGTTTTTATATAAATGGATCAGGACAAAAAGTGAGCGAATCTTTTTTCCTGAAACTTTCAGAATCTCTTTACACACAGGGGACACATGTTTATGTATAAAAGACATGAACAAGTGGATTTTGCATAATAGGTGACCTTTAAGTTCAATCCTTCAGAGTCCCACAAAAGAGACTCACAGTGTTGATGTTTAAACCAAAAATATAAGGCCATCTCTTTTGGGAAATGGATACGCTCTGATCATACAGTGCCATCTAGTGGTTAGAATTGCTAATGCAAATGTTGTATTCAGATGGCAATCATTGATTTAAAAATCAGGCTAGATGAATAACCAGGCTACAGTGTTGTATCGGTACAGCATAGGAGCTCAGTTTCAGTGCAGTTAAATAAATGAACAGAAACGATAACCATCAAAACAATGCACACAAAAAGGAAACATACATTTGAAAGACAGTGAAATTATAGGAAACCTCAAGCTCATTGAGGCAAGGCAAGTTTATTTATATAGCACCTTTCAACACAAGACAATTCAAAGTTATTAAGACATATTGCAGCAGTAACATATTTTAAAATGGCATTTTAACTAATTTCAAAGCAAAGATAATAAAACATGAATAACACAGGCACATGAATAAAAGTTACAGTGCAGTGTGAGATATGAATATATCAAGTAAAAGCAGCAGCAAAAATAATATTGAGATCTTCCCAGTGCCTGCAGAACAATATGGGTCAGTAAAAAGGACCTTGTGGTAAGGTGGAGTAGTGAGGGGAGTTAAGTGTCATAGAAGTCTCGATCACAGGAAGACAGCTGCAGGCTTTTCTTTGTATCACAGACATAGGCCTCCCACATGTATCACATATTTATATATGTGTATATCTGTATTATAAGTAAGGTTTGAAGCTCACTTCATCAGAACCAAAAACACAAAACCTCAAGGACTTATCAGAGTCTAAAGCGATCGGTGGTATTTACTAGACTTCCTGTTTCCTCTAAGTCTATCTCTTCCGAATGTGTGAGAAGATGAAGTCTGACAAGCACACAGCCACATATGAAATCATTCATAAGTCTGAACATGTTTAAATAACACAAAGTACATAACCACAGACATTGTAAGTACCAACGTTTTAAGTTTTAAACCAACGTGCAATATGTCTAATCTTTGCAAGCAATTGCATGAATGTGCCACACTTTTATTAATCAAACTTTTACATTTGTGTTTGTTTTTTTGCAGTTAATATATTTAAGCTGTTTAGAAGGGGAGAAAATCCCTCAAATTGTCGATATGCAAAAATAATCATGACCTTTTGCCCTTTTGTCTAGGGTTTGTGAATCTATTTATTTATTTTTTGTGACCAACTTTTTTTTTTGCCCTCACAGAGGGAGTTATATACACAGATACAAATTATATAGACAATATTACAAAAAGACAAAGAAAAAATATAGGGAGTCCCTTTCCCATGCCACCCCGTCCACATGCCTTCTCTTGGTTACAGAGAAGGCATATGGGGCTTGGAATCATCCTTAATTGACAGCATTTTCTGGTTGACAGGTAATATCTGTGTATCATTTTATACCGTATCAATTGGTGATTGTGGTTACGTGATGTTAAGGAGATATCTTTCCATATTCTCTTCTAATCGATAGTCTGCGTGTAGTTTTTTAGATCTGCGTTCCATACTGCAGAGATGCCAATATATCCAGTTAGTTTATCTTACAGCTTTTTATATATATATGAAGTAATGCCGCTCACCCTGTTTGAACTTAATATGACCTTAACTAATTGATGTGTTGGCAGAGGTTGATTCCAAGGAACTCCATATGTGCGCATGGCAGTACGTAGTTGCAAATAGAAAAAGAAAGAAGAGCCAGGCACATTATACGTGTCTTTCAATTCTTGGAAGGACATCAAGCCGTTGTCGTTGGTTATGTCAGAAAGATAATGTAAGGGTTTGCCATTGTGGGAATTTAATTGCTTTTGTTCCAATACGTAGCAGCAGGTTATGAAAAATTGGTGTGTTACTATGCCAATCTACAGACCAATTGCACAATTTCTCCACATGTTTCCACACTTTCACAGCTTGGCCAATAATTGGTCCAAATGTATGCATACAGTCATATGGCGACATGGCAGAAAATAAGACATCACCAAGTTTAAGGGGATAGACTATACTTCTTTCAATTTTAATCCAAGGTACATTAGTGCTTTCATCAATCCAGTTTTTCAAGGCTCGAAGCGTAAAGGAATAATAATAAAGCTCGAGATTGGGAACATTAAGGCCTCCACTGTTTTTGTCATATTGTAGAACTTTGTATCTGATTCTTGGGTATTGGTTTTTCCAAATGTATTTTGAAATCCTATTCTGAAGTTTGTCCCAAAAACCGTCTGGTGGAGATAAAGGTAACATACTAGCTAAGAAATTGACTCTTGGTAGAATATTAAACTTTATGATTGAAATTCGTCCTGCTAAAGAAATTGTTATATTAATCCACATTTTTAGGTCATCTTTAATTGTTGTATACATTATTTTGTAGTTCTTTGCTACTATTGTGTCTAATGAGGCATATATATCGATTCCCAAATATTTAAAGAGTTGGACGATCTGCAATTCTGTATTTAGGTTTAGTTCAACCATGGCACTATTGAGGGGTAAAATACATGATGTATTCAAATGTATCTTGTAACCAGATATTGAACTAAATTGGGTAAAGATATTTAACAGATTAGGAAGCGTAGTTGGTACCTCGCGGCTCAAAGTGTAATTATGCTGTGTCATGTTAAGCTGCTGTAGTGCTCTGTGTGGGTGAATGGGAGGAGTAACAACACTCCATTAAGCTGCTTCAGCGCTAGGGTATCATAGCTTACTGAGACACTTAAAACAAATATTGTAATGTTAAAAGTCCTCTGAGCTGTTAGATCAGGGGTGTCCAAAATACGGCCGGCCCGCGGACCATTTTGAATCGGCCCTCACTCAGCAAATTAAAAAAGTATAATGACTTAAGTATAATAAACTTCTGCTTGTCTTATATTGTACATTATAATTATATAATGTTCAAATATATTACACAGTACTCATGTGTTAATAGGCCCAATTTTCTAAAAAAAATCAGTCAATTAAAGTGGAAAACATGTTCTAACAAATCTAAGTTGATAAGAAAAAAGCCCAATATACATTTACATGACAACCTTGAAATATACCCTTCATATTTCCTCTCATAAGCAATCTGAAGCTTCTGTTTTAAGGAATGAGCTACCAACACAATAAAGTAAACCCTCTGGAAAGCTGAGCTGTTTATTTTTTAAAGCATTTTCAAGTATCAAGAATAATGTACCTACATTGTATTGACTTTTACAACTTAAAACAAAACTTATGAGGCAAAATACCTCTAGTGAGCGGCCCTGCCCTTCTTATATTTTGTGGCCCTCGGTGAACAAAGTTTGGACACCCCTGTGTTAGATAGAAGATATTTTAGGGACAGTGTTTGAAAAAGGTTTACAAAAAGCTTCTTGGTTGGATGAGAAGAAGGGTGACCTTTTATATACCTGTCATCTTGTTTTGTAAATTCAGTAAATCGCTCTTTTAATGCTCTGATTCTGGACTTCATCATTCATTTTTTTGGTTTAACTTATACTTTCTGGTCCAGACAAGTACGCAGAACCAGGATCAGCTGTATTTCTGCAACATATGGCTGTAACAGCGCTCATTTTCAATTATCAGAAACACACAGGTGTTAGTCATGACACCAACGATGGCTCTACTCAGGTATATCTAAATGGAATTCTGCCATCATTAAATCAATTTTTTACACCTGGGAATGAAAAACTTAAACTCCAACATATCCATTGTGTTTCTCAAAATTGAACAAGGAAATGTTATCAAAAAAGACACACAATAAATAACATTCATTAACATTGACTCCATGTTATTGTTTTAAGTATTTTATTCATGCAGTTCAGTTTCCAAAACAGCAATACAATGCAAATAACTTATCAAAATGGTGTAAAATCAGCTACTGTTGCAAATCCATTGTATTGTTAATCGACTTCATGCTTTCTGGGGATGTAAAAATGTAAAACCTCTGTGTTTCAAGTCCTTTATGTCAAATTAAACTATTTTCTAGCTCAAGAAAAACAAGCTGACTGCTCCTCTTATTTTAACCCTTGCTGGACTTGAAAACACTGCCACTGCCTAAAAAAGGACTGTCAAATATATAGGTAGCTTTTTCCCCCCAGCAAACACTGGTGATATAGAGCAGATTTACAGCTGTTAATAACCAAACTAACACGAGTCGATTGTCTAGATTTTCCACTAGTACAAACCTCTGTAGTAAATAGGCCTAAACTAGAAATATAGAGTTGAATGTGAGCATGTGCTGTCAGTATTTTATACTTCTGTTGTCCTTAAAGCCCTGGACTTACCTGTTGCCTCTGCAGGTCTCCAGATGCTACTCCAAGTGAACACGTTTCAGTTTGGGCACTGAAGGGGACAGGTTAGGTCATGAATGATAAAAGCTTCAGCATTTTAGACAGGTGGAGAGATGTTTCTTTAATCAGCGTGACGATTTTAACAAGTTTGTTTTATGTGACATCGTTAATAAATTGATTATGATTTAGAGCTGATTATTTTTTTCGAAAGATCTTAGGAGTTGGCGAATAATTTGAAGCGGTTACAGTGATGGTTTAGCGCTGGGCATGATTTTGGGCACATCTGTGGACAACATTACTGCACAAATCCGTTTATTAAAAACAAGTTCGACAATGGACAGGTTTATGTGAACGCTTTGCGAAAAATTTCCTATTAACATACTTTTTTTACATTTGTCTGAGCAGTTAAAAAGTGTTCAGCAACGCCATATGGAGCTTTGTTTTTTTTGCGATGGGAAAGCGTAACACAATGGAACCAACGTGCAGATTAGATTTAATACCAAACATGATACAGTTCAGTTTAATCTACAGATGTACACAAGTATCGCCTATACTGCTGCTGAAATTATTCAGCTCTCTAAGGTCACACACAACATCAGAATACTAATCTTTTTTTTACGTTAAAGTACAAATAAAAAAACTCCGCCTCGACTGAAAACTGGCGCCTTGACGCCATCGTCAAGCACTTTTATAAAAAAAATGCTACAGCACAGTAAGAAACTTAAACAATCAGGGAGGAGAAAAACGAGTAAAAACTGTCCCAAAATAATAAAAACAGACGTGGACGTCGGCAATTCATTTCCTCCTGTGAGCATCGCAGTAGAACGCAACGCGCTCAGCCACAGACGGGAAGAGGATAGTGTCACGAGCATCAGGAGGCGGCGAGCGGCGACGCAGTCGGACGACGATCCTGAAAAAAGAGCAGATGACACAAATGAAGCGTCTGCAAGTGGTGTCTCAAAGCACGTCGTTCCTTCTGAGATATCTACGTGGAGTTCTGCTTCTCGAGTCATTCTCAGACTGAGACCTCTGTCTTTGTCGGATTATGGTACACATTTAAACTGATATTAGCTGATAAGCAAGTTATGCATTACCAACGAAACTTGGTGAATGTCACCTTGTACGCATGCTTTTTCAAACCTTGTTTTCCCAACAAGATCTGGAGGACAGCCTCTGCCTGTTCAGGGACCAAATGTATGACAAAAACCAGTCTACCTCAGGCCTATTCTCACCTTAACATGCCAGGGCTTAATAAGCGTAGCGTGCAGGTGGTGGTGGGGGCAGCCGTTCTGCGTAGGGGTCCCTGGCGCGTGGAATTCCGTATGCTGGAACACGGGAAACGGGAGAGAGTCGGGAGCGCTCGTAGGAGTAGCCATTACTGGAAGGGGGCATTGGTGCGCTAGGCGCTCTCCTTAGGGGACTGCGATCTCGGGCGTAGTACGAGGAAGGGGGAGGTGGGAGGGGGCGACGGTCATACGGGTCGTGCGACGAGGTCATAAGGCGGTCTCGGACGACGGATGGAGGGGGAGGGGGAGGAGGGGCACCGCCACGTTGGTCCTCGTATGAGGGGATGCCATACGGACGGGCTCTGTACTTCTCGTAGTAATCTACCACACCATATCTGTCCCTCTCACCCTCATAGGGGCGCTCGGGATAAACGGCTCGTCTAGGGGGAGGGGGTGGCAGAGGAGGGGCAGGGTAACCTGGGGGAATGTGGCTGAGGCGCCCTCTCATGTAGCTGGGCGGAGGGGGAGGCTCATGCCTCTCTCCTGGATAACGAGGAGGCCAATAGCCTCCCCTGTCTGGGGGAGGAGGAGGGTAGTCGTCCCGTTCGTCATGTCTGGGGCGACTCTTGGAAATCTGGACATGGATGCGTTTGCCTAAATAGGAAGAAAAAACACAGATAAAGAAAAAAAGTTTAAATACCCAGATTTAAAATGAGACAACTACAACAATACTATTTAACAAATTGTGCTTTACCTTGAAATTCTGAATTATCCAGTCCCTTGATGGCATCCATGGCCTCATCAGAGTTGGCCATGTGTACAAAAGCAAAATTCTTGACAACAGCACACTCTGAGACTGTGCCATACTCTTCAAAGAGAGCGCGGAGCTCGTCATCAGCTCCCTTCTCTACATTGGCTACATGCAGTTTGATAGATCCCTGGTTCTTCCCGTGGCTGGCCTCCACGTTGATCGGTGTGCCGTGAAGCTTGTACAGGTGCAGATTCTTAATGGCTTTAGTGGCAGCCTTGCGGTCATCCATGTGGATGAAGGCGTAGTTCTTGATGATCGCACATTCTGTGACCGTGCCGTACTCGGTGAAGAGAGCCTTGATTTCCTCCTGGTCTGCCTCTCGGGGAAGGTTCCCCACAAAAATCTTCACCATTGTTAAAGATCTGTCTCAGAACAATAATAAAATAAAAAACCATTATACAAAATGTATTCAGTGTTAAAAGTATGCCTTACTCCTTTTCTCTGAAACTCAAGTAAGTCCCAGAGGTAAATTAGGTAGGCCCTTTCATTGCACAGTTCTACATGCACTGGTTATTTTACAAGCGTTGTCGAACTTAATTTAACATTAAACGTTTCTTTGAGCTGTATTGCTATAAAGTAGAGCATGGTTTAAGTCTAAACACAACTACTGGTCTTGCTTTAGCAAATGTGCTAGTGCTAGCAGTTAGCTTTGGTTAGCTTTCTAGTCTAGACACGCCATTACACAAAGCATCGCTCACATTTACACAAAAAGTAAATGCGGACGAGTAAATAATAATATACATTTATATTGCTGTTAATATCGAGCCACTTTTTATATGCTTTTTTGTTACCTTTTATACCGGGCGGCCTCGACAAAGACTTCTAACCCGTTTCAGGATCTTTCCTTCGACGCAGACTGCTGCCGTTTGATACTGATTACGGCTCTGGGTTTTCTATTTCTCGTTCTTTCTTCTTTGTGTGTCGCCATTACTGCCGAACGACAACCACAGCGCCCCCAGTGTCCCGGGGGAAGACAATGTGGTTTTATGGATTGTGTTTACAAATCATCACAATTCGTGTATGGAAAATACAATTAAAATATTTTCTAACTCGTAATTAAATCTATAATAACTGTGCAACATATACCTTTACTTTGACTATCGGGCTGCTATCCCACTATATTCTAAATGCGACACTGAACAAACTGAAACGTCGACTCTAATTCAATGTATTATGTCAACTAATTTCACATAACTGAAAGCAATAATATTAAGTTGAACCTAATATGTTTTGATTCAATGTAATTGTATTGCTTTCAACTAACCTAATACAGTTATGTGAAATCTGACATAATACATTTAGCTAAAGTCAACGGTTCAGTTTTTTCAGAGTACACTTTAAAAAAATGTTTTTAAAACATTGCTATTATTGTTGTCAACATGGGTGGGTACTTTTGTAAATTGTAATTTGTGTAATATCTATCTCTAATATTTTATGCATGCCTGTTATTTGATATTGTGCTGTTTTGCCTCTTTACTTTTACTGTAACAATGTACACTTCTACTCTGTGGAACTAATAAAGGTTTTCCGATTGTGATTAACTTGGTTAAAAAGTTATACTTTATGTATCAGGTGATACAATAAATACATCCTGCTGTTTGAAGAAGTAGACATATTTTGATTTGTTTTGTGTTTTTATGTAATTAGGCTGTGATTGCCTTATATTCCTTTTTTATTATGTACATGTAATATTGTTTAAATGTATTTTGTACTTTGTATCTATGTATTATCAATATTGCCTTGGTTTTTATTTAGTTTATTTTAATAATAAGGAAATGAATAGTTCTACAGTAAGCATTTCTACACAATTGGTTTAAGTGCCCTTCCAGTAGCCTAACCCACATCCCTGTCCAAGTTTGGTAATAACCATAACGCACAGTGCCTTATTTAATGACCATTATCGTCATTTTTTACTGCTTATGTGTAGTAAAATGGTGCTTAGGAATGCAACTAACTACTTCTCGTATTGTGTTGATGTGTAAAGCAGGGTGTAGTTTCCCGCTGGTTGGCAGTGTCAGTGCCAGGCTGAAGCACACTGCTAAGACCATAGAATAGATTGTATTTACTTTCTTTTACAGGTTTCAAAATAGGGAAATTCCGATGCTAAAATGCTACGTTCAAGGACTCATCTATGGATGGTAAATTAGAGAACAGCATTCCAAAACTAAAACAAAGAGAAGAAACATTGTTAGAAAGTTAGCAGGGGGTAAAATGAAGATTGTTGGCTGACGGGACATTCAGCACAATCATTTAAAATACCCATGCAATAATTTATTTTATTACAAAATGCTGTCCTCCTAGTATTTTTCAATTGAACAGTCGTCATAGAATGCCAAAAACATTTCCCACAACAGAAGATGACCCGGAAGGTTGCATAATCCATATTATTCTTATTATTTGATACTATTATTACTGAGTAACAGTCTAAAAACAACATTTTAGACAACTCAAATGTTAATAAATGTTCTGTTAATCACCTAACGAACCGATTAATTTTAACACTTGAGGTAATGACTCCGTAGGAATTGTGTGTGTGAGTGGAAATACGTTGTGTTAGGCTGAAAAGTTGGCTAAAATGTTTATCTATACCCCAGTGAAAAGTTTAAACGTACGCTAACCGAACGAAACTGAAATATAAATGCTTTTCCTCTTCATTGCTTTCTAACAATGAGTTTTACGGACTTGTACATGAACGCATCAATACTCTGTGAGAATGACGAAACTCAGGTCAGAGAAGAACAGCATGCAGAGAGTGGACGTCGTCTCCCTGTTTTCTCTCAGCACCAGCACCGTTATCCTCCGAGTACCTTTAACTACATTCGATTAGCATTTTTCAGTTTCTTCCAAATAAAAACTTCGACATTCAGGTAAGGCACAGACCTATAATAGTTATTGTAAATGCACACTCAACATTTGTAGGGAGTAGGGATGCAACTAACGCTATTTCCGTTATCTTTGATTGTTTTTAGAATGTGATTGTTGATTGTTATCGCTTATTGTTTTCTATAAAGTGTATAAAATCTCAGAAACAAGTGATAAAATGTCCACCCAAGTTTCTCAAAGTCTAATTCTATGTCTTTATATTAGTGTTTGATTGTTTGAGTTATCAAGTACACCTCCATATTTAGATAGATACGTTATTGATCCCAATTTGGGAAATTATTTTGTTACAGAAGAAGAATCAGTGTGTTCAGACATTAAAAATACAAATACTTAACAAGTGGAATAGAGAATTAAACAACAGAAATTCTAAGTAAAAATAAAATGAAAAATATTATATCAAATATAGTTTGCAAAACTATTTCGATCAACAACAAAAAACGTAATCGATACAAAGAAAAGTAGGTGATTATTTTCTCTGTCATTAACTAAAAGTTGCCTATGTTTTGTAAACCACCTCGTCTCACTGAACTCCTAATATTTTTGATTTCTGCCCCACAATTTTATCACTAAAGGTTAACAGGCCAATCCACCTTCTCCTGGTCTCCTCATTATCCACGATGAATGTGTCCCAGACGATAGAGACGGAGGAGGATCTCCTCCCTTGTCTCCATGTCAAACTCTACCACCCTCAGCAGAGCTCCAATAGTCTTTACGGGCTCATCCCTCTGGGGAAAAGAAGCAAACACCCAGCGGAGGACCCTCTCAGGCTGGGGCGCGATGGCCAGGCCTGCACTGTCGCCCTGCTCGACACCCGGGTGTCCCGCAAACAGCTGGCCATCCAAGCCTACTACACCCCCAGAAGCCGGGACATGCTGTTCAGGATCCAGAACCTGAGCCAGAGGGCCCAGCTGTCTGTGAACAGCTCAGCGTTGGACTACCTAGAAGTAGTGGATCTCCCGGACAAAGCCCTGATCCGGTTCGGACAGTACGAGATGCTGATCATCCGAGAGTCCGGCGAGGCCAAGGCCAGCTTCGAGGTGGAGTTTGAAGTCCTGACAGTGCCTCCGTCCAGAGAGACTTGCACCTGTGAGCCTAGCGTGACCCCTGTCTCGGACACAGAGTCATTAATGGTGAACAGTTTGCTAGGAGAACTCAGAATAATTGGCCCCAGTGAAACGGATGAGACTGCAATATGTTATTCATGATGTAGAGACTCTTTACTTTCTAACTTAAACTGCTGTGTCATTGTCACCTCTTTGTAATGTGAAACTATAGTATTATTCTGCTCCCTAAAGCTGTGATCTTAATATAACTACTTTTAAAATGCCTTCTTCATGCTTTTTTAAAATTAAAGTCTGTTTTTGTTAAATGGTGTTGTGAATGCTGTGGCCAAAGATCCGACTACCCTCATACACCACTATTGCTGGAACACAAAGCGGGGTTAACCTACAACAGATTACAAACAGGTTTGTCCAGTTTTGCATTTGATAAAGTCGGTTTCACATATCCGTTAGAAGTTCTCGGAACATTTAGAATTTCCACTTCACTTTGTTCCAGTAGATGTTTAAGGATGTATAATGTAGTTTTCTTGACTTACAGCAAGTCAAACTATACAATTCTATCAAATTATGAGCAAAACATCTACATTTCACTTACTTCACTACTTTTTATGCATTTTCACATTTTTATATAATGTAGGATTTTTATTCATGAAACATTAAAGTAAAAGCATTAGTTACATTTTATATTATGCTGTATGTTGCTATAGCTTTCAAATAAATATAGTGAATACAAATGTACACTATTTCCATGTCACATTAAGGTATTTTGACATGTACAGCACTTGAGTAAATGTACAGATGTATTGGTGAGAGTAGATTATTCTAAAACTGCATCATCAGGGTATATGCAGGAATCCTGAAGTCAAATGTAATACCTTTTAAGACCTTTTATAAGACCCTTTCCATACATTTTAAGACCTCATCACCACTTCAAGTTTTAACCGGTTACATTGGCGACACACTTTACTATATACAGTATTGATTGTCCTTCCTCCTTATCTTCCAACCATTTGGACGCAAACTTGCATTTCCTCATAACGATGTTGTTTAACAACCGGCGTAAACGGACCTTCGCGCGCTATCAAGCAGTGAGCGTGCGATGTCCTGTTCAGATGACGTCAAACCCAACGGGATGCCATAAATAAACTACACAGAATCACACTACACACCTACGCAATGATTACATTCAGGCACACTTTAGAATACAACCTCTTTGGACAATTTATATACTTATTGAAAACAAGCTACAAAATGTAATACCTTGGAAAATGCCGTTTAGTACTTTTTAATAGCCTTCATTTTCGCTAAATTGATTTATCAACTTTTAATACTTGTTAAGACCCCGCGGACACCCTGATTATGGTATTCAGATATTGAATTGCTTTAGCTGGCTAACACCTGCTTGAGTCATCGATCCTCTTAGGGTGGGGTCCGGAGACTTTTTAAAAGTCTTAGAACACATTCAATTCTGATTGGAGATCCTCATCCTATTTTATTGCATTTACAAGCAATGTGAGATCTTTATCTACTCATGGAAGCAGAAGAGCAGTGTTTCTCAGGAATGACAGGTACGCAAAGGCGATATCTGTCATACAGGCAGCATTGGCACTATAAAAAAAAGAAATCCGGTTATCGTAGTAATGCCACTGTAAACACCACCCTTGGTTTCTGGAAACTGGAATAAAACAAAGAAGGGAGTGTGCAGAACGGAAGCCTCAATCGACCTCAGCAGGAAACGAAAAGGAGAATAGAAAAAAAGATACTTCTCATTGTTCAGATGAGAGGATTCACAGATTTTTACTCTCGATGGCATACCACTTGATCAGGATGTACTCTGCCTTTGACACAGTGTCAGTATTTTGTTTTGTATGTTAGTCATTTTTCTCGCTTATGAAGAAACACAGTATTAACCATTGCTGAATGAGCACATCTGATGATTTGATCAGCAAACGGGACATTTTCAAATCTTATGGTCAAGTGTGATACAAAACTAAACCCATTTTCACCACTGTATTCAAATTGAGATTTCTTTTTTGTAGGGTATGACATCACGGTTCAATTGAGGAAAATCTGTGAATTATCTCATCTGTTCATATATCCCACTTGAGGGGAAAATGTAACTGTCAATCTACATTGTTTTAAAAAGGCAAGGCAAGGGTTGATAAAATAAGACTACAATTTTCCGATTTGGGAGAAAAGTGTTTATTTACACACCTAATCTTCTCATACTGGAAAAAACAATGTTAATAAATAATCAGAAAATAAAGTTCTACATGAATATAGAGAATAGAGTAATACAAACATTGTGTTTAAGGCCATGCGATGGTTTAAAAGTAAACATTTCAGAGCATTTGGACAGTCACAATTTAAAACCTAATTTCATCAGGTAGGTAAAAATGGTTGCTTAGAGTAGCACTGCTTTGAACAGATTAGCTCTTCGTCAACTTTGAGAGATCTTGCCTTAATAAAAAGAAGGATTCATTTCCTTCCATCCAACTTGTGTTTTGGTGTCATCAACAATGCAGGTTTTCCCAAGGACTGGAAATCCCCCTCCAGCTCACCAACATATGGACCAAACTTTCCCTGGAGTTTTACAATCTCCTTCCTGGAAAAAACAGACACTTCACTCAAGATCTCAAAATGCACACGTCGTTTTTAAATTCATCATCCACTCTTACTGCTTCACCTTTGCCTTCAGGGCTTTCTGATCTCATCCTTTCCCAGCTGCTGTGGATTCACTGAGGCACAGAGCAGGAACCTGCAGACAGAGACAGGGGCCGTTTCTCAATGTCGAGTAGAGCTGCTGCAGAGCCACTATTTCAAGTATACTACGTCATCGAGTGGCGCCGAATGCTGGGCATTTAAACAGTCCTTCGGCGCCACTCGATGACGTAGTATACTTGAAATAGTGGCTCTGCAGCAGCTCTACTCGACATTGAGAAACGGCCATGGTCATTGATCCCACTCTTCACTGATCAGACCTCGCATTACCTCATGCCTAGGGTGATGTAATAACAATGTAAAAGAAATAAGAAATGTGTTTTTGTATACGCTTAAAGACTTTGGCAAGATGCAAAACTAGTTTTTTTACAATAAAATGTTTTCCAGATTTGAACAAAATATTTTAAAGACTGACCTAGAGTTGATCTACCCTCTCTGAAGTCATTTTTCAGCCAATTAAGTCAAGTGAAAAACATTTTGATGTCGGTTTAAAGCAATTGCATTTAAAAAAGTGAATATATAAATGAAAGGCGTTTATTTACATTTGTTTTAACTTAAATTATCATTAGCAAATTATTATAATCACATTTATTATATTATTAATTGTGCAATATATATATATATTTTATATTAATTAAACAAATTCAAATTAATATTTAAAAAAAAATCTTGCATACACCCATTTGAGAAGCTGTGTCCTAGAGCAGGAAAATATTGCAGTATAAATGCAAAACCACATTTATTGCATTAGTGGTGTTTTGAAATAGATCTGAAACACTACCTACCTCTTGCAGTGGCTGCTGCTCATCTTCAGAGGACGACTTACCCTGAGCTGGCGTCTCCTGATAGTCTAACAACCTACAAAGAGCAAAGATACTAAGAAGACCAAGACTGCATGCAAATTGTGGCACATACACATACAAGGTTATTCATGTTGAGTAGTATGTAGTGTGAACTAAATGAAAATGAAGAATGAGTAATTGCCGCAAGACGACATGTGCCATCGCAAAGCTAATTATTGATCTATTTCTAGGATTACCACCAATTAGCTTAGCTCATGGTAGGCAATGGAAATTGTGATGATGGAGCTCCCTCTACCACGGAAAACGTGTAAAATCAGGAAGACGTAGCATGAAAACATTGGGTGTCACCACCTTTTAATCACTCCGGGGTTTGTGGAGCCAGATTTCATCAACTGTAATACATTAAAGGGTTGAAAGGAATCGATATCACATCATTTAACAGTTTTAAATGTCAGTGAATTGCTGCACAAAGATATCTCACTTTGTATCACATTTTTAGATGATCAAGTGGACATTAACCTACACAAGATTTCAATTGAAAGCAGATTGAGTGCTTCAATAACAAAGACTGACAGGTTTTCACCATTTATGATGGGATTGAACAGGGCTGAGCCAACACTAACTACCATGTGTTAAGCTCCCAACTCAAGGGTGTGAAGCTGAAGCGTGTTAGGAGTTAAACGCCTGGGTATTACTTCGAATTCCTGCCGAGCCATTAAACTAGAAAGCCTACCGCACAAGGAAAAATTTGACAGTTAGAACGTAGTTTTTGGTTTCATTTGTTTATTAAAAAGCGATCAAATAAAAAGCAACTTGTAAAGTAAATCAAATCATACATAATGGGTGTCTAGAATCTATTTTCGCAAGAAAAGATAACACAAAAAATAAAAAAAACCACCCTTTAACTTTTGATTCGTCATGCTAACATTTGTCGCAAATCTTAAAAGATTACGTACAACCTGCCACACCATGTAAAATGATTATAAAAACAACTACACTGAACTTTTATTCTTATTTTGATGAATATTTTGTAAATAACCAACAACCTTAGTCTGAGTGCAATGATTTTGATCTCAGACTATGTATTTTTATTTATTTAAACGTCTTCCCTCGTTATGAAAAAGAGCATATCCATTTAGAAAAATTGAAGAGCAGAGGGCTTTTGGCATTAACAGTACTCCGTCACACTGAAATAGACTAGGCATCTAGGCCAGCATCCTATTCTTTAAAACATTTGAGGGATCTAAACAGTAAAACAAGCAGAGGAACAGAAAAGGCATCAACAGCTCAGAAGATTACGTGAACCGTAGACATGGAATCATATGATTTTAAAGTACGGGGCGGTCTGCAAAACAGTATCTTCCAGTAAGTCTCAGGCAAACGCAACGCAATCCGCCAAAGACGAGGGGGATGTTTAGCGCCACGTGCATCAGCAGACGACGACGACGATCTTGCAATATTCTAAACCTGGGAAGAGAGCACACCACACATGTCAAGGAGCGGGTTTTAATCGCGCAAGACTGATCTTTGATGTTAGAGCAGCAGTATTTTTAGGATTCTAAAAATGTTAAGGGTTTAGTTTCTGTATATTGGTCTGGACTAAATCAGCAGGAATTAAGAGCTCTGGCTGATGGGGGGTGGTTTAAAGCGTGATTCTACCTCAACGGATTCAGCTCTCAAATTCATTTTCGGTACACATTTATTTAACATTTTCTCAATCATGCTTACTTTCTTTTAAACGATATTTACCATCCACTCTGTTCTCACCTTGAATGACCCTCCGGATGCCTAGTAGCCCGCATATCGGGGGGGTGGTGGTGGAGGCGGGGGCCCTCTCTCTGCGTAGGGGTCCCTGGGGCGGTGGGCTGCGTACATCTGAGGCGCGTACATGGGAGCCCTGGACAGCGGGGAGAGCCTGGAGCGCTCGTATGAGTACCCATTACCGGCTGATGGAGGAGGCGGAGGGGGGGCACGTCTGATGGGGCTTCGATCTCTAGACATGTAGGATGGAGGGGGGAGGGGGCGGCGCTCGTACGGGTCAGGGGCCCCCATAGAGAGACGTTCCCTTACCAGTGCCGAGGGGGGTGGCGGAGGAGGAGGGGCGTTGGAACGCCTGTCATCGTATCCGCCCATGCTGTAGGGGCGGGCTCTGTATTTCTCGTAGTAATCCACCATGGCGTAGTCTTCTCGCTCGCCGTAGCCACGGTCGTGGTAAGATGCTCGTCTTGGGGGAGGGGGTGGCGGGGGCAGGGGTGGAGGGGCGTATGCAGACATGCGATCGCGGGGATCGCGGAGATCTCTGTGATCTCTGTGATCCCTGGGATCTCTGTACGGAGGCTCGGGCCTCTCCCCCGGGTAGCGGGGAGGGGGATAATAGCCTCCTCTGCTCGGTGGAGGCGGATAGTCGTCCTCCTCCTCGGGTCCACCTTTGGGTCTGCTTTTTGATATCTGAACGTGTATGCGCTTTCCTGAGAGAGAGAAAATCAGTGTCCCTCAAATCTAAAATACAACAGTATGGACTGGGGATGTCACGAGCTACCGATACATAACAAAGTCATGGCCTACATTTTGTAAAACGTATGATATTTATTTTTTACAGCATCGTAATTCCCTGTACGGCCAGCATTCGAGACTAATGGCATCCGATGTACAAACCGTCAATGCTTTCAAGAATATTTTTATCCTGATTATGTTAAATTGTGAACAACGTTTTGATGGCACAAGAGAGCTAGTTAATGTTAGGTGTTGGCAGAAGGTGGAACAAGGTTCTACAGAGTCTATGGTGCGTTCAGGCTCTTTTTAGCAATAAATAATATTGGTCAAAGGCAACTGCAGGTTTGTAAACATTTTTAGTTTTTAACCCAAAAATACAGTTTTCACAATCTAAAAAGATATTTGAGGATGAATTATAACCCGTTTAAAGGTTAAAAAAAAAATCTTAACTGTGGCATCAAAAATAAATTACGGTTTCACTGGTATTGGTACATACGGTATGGTATCGTGACATCCCTAGTTAGGACATCTACAAAACTTGAATTGAATATTGATTGACTTACCTTGAAACTCTGTGTTATCCAGGCCCTTTATGGCATCCATGGCCTCATCAGAGTTATCCATGTGAACAAAGGCAAAGTTCTTGACAATGGCACACTCTTTCACTGTGCCATACTCTTCAAACATGGCTCGCAGCTCATCGTCAAAGCCCTTTTCTACATTGGCTATGTGGAGCTTCACAGGGCCCTGGTTCTTCCCTCTGCTGGGCTCCACGTTGATGGGCCTGCCATCCAGCTTATGGAGATGGAGCTCACGGATGGCTTTGGTGGCTGACTTGCGGTCATCCATGTGGACAAAGGCATAATTTTTGTACTTTGCACATTCTGTCACTGTGCCATATTTGGTAAAGAGAGCTTCCACGTCCTCCTTCTCAGTGTGCTGAGACAGGTTCCCAATGAAGATCTTCACCATGGTTGCTCAAGTGTGATCCTCTAAAAGGGGATAAAGAGAAGATGAGAAACCACAGGCCAGCATGTAATAACAGTCAGACAGTAACCAGTGTGAGGGCGAGTGGTGAACCCATCACGTCATCATTAGGATATAGACGGCTTGTAATCGAGCCGCATGTCGGGTAAGGACAACCAGAGCAAAAACAATGGCCACATATGTCCACAAGTGACCTGTTTAGCTTCGTTTTTATTCACGTATAACTTTTGTAATATAATAATAAACTGTACGACTTTAATTGCAGCTAGCTCAAATTAAAAATATTTAGTCGAGGAAGTTTCCGTGTTTGCACTTCCTGCTCAGAGCAGTTAGGCCCGGCTCGCTTTATTTGAATGGTTTCTAGCGAGCTAGCATTAGCTTCCAATCCATTTGTCTCGTGTAACGGAAGTAAATACAATTACATTCAACCATTACCAAATATATTAAGTTACGTTGAAGACGTGTACAAATGCAGGCATTATAAAAGCAGAAACGAGTATATTTGAAGAAGGAGAAACTACTCACAGCTCGTGATCGGTGCCTCAACGAAGTCGACTCGAAACTCCCTGATAAGATCCACCGGATATGGTGTGGCTATAAGCGCCCAAGCAATAATGTGATTGGTGGATAGACGCGTCCATTTCAAAGTACGGACTGTGATTGGCTAAAAGGATGAAGACAGGTTTTATGCGGAAAAGCCTTTCTATTTGTTATGGCGTGGTTCGTTGGTAAGACTAGTTTTGTAGAAAGTGTATCTTAGTCAAACATCTACATGTAGCTACACAGTGTATAGGTTATTTCCTCTCTTTATTGTATTGAGTATGTTTGTTTCTGATCTAAAATCCCATGTGAATTTCATTTGATTATAGCATGTTTGACCTTTCTTATACCCAGATACTGCAAAAGATGTAGGAAGACATGTTTGAAGGACACAGATAATTCAAATGAAAGTGTTCAATCATGTCTGAGTGAATTAAAAATCCCTAAGTAAGAATAGAAACCCAAACCTAGATATAGGTTTTAAAGGGAGACTCGTCACTCTTTTATCTTAAATCGCAACATGTGGTATTACTTTACATATCTTTTGAATGATACCTCATTCAAATTTAAAGCTGACTTTTTGATCTCTTTGTTGTTTTGTTTGGACACTCAGGGGCAGAACTCCGCTGCAATCAGAATTCCCCTCCTCTGTTTCTTTAAAAAAGAAGGGTACATGCAGCTTTAAATATGATAGGATATATAATCTGGTAATAAAGAACAATTATCTTACTTCAGAACAATATAGGGACCAAGACTAGGAGTACCTCATTGGGAAAACTGAAATAACAGTCACAATGCAAGCTGTACTAAAACGTCATCATTGTTGTGTAAGGACCTATTTATGAACTTTCATCAATGCCCTCCTTTAACAAATATGGTATAGCTACAGTATAATTATGCTCTACTCAAGTCTAATAGTAGCCTATGCTATTATCTTAAAAATAATATATAAATGGTTAAAAATTGCCACAGAGGATGGAAGAGTAGTATAACACGCCCACCGAAACCAACAATAGTGCATGGGCACATTAAAAAGACACTTTACTGTAAAGTAATGTACTATTTGTATTATGTTCTCCATCAAATACCTTGCTTATTCACTCTGAAATGTGTGCTGGACTTCCCTCATGCTTCTATAAACTCGAAATTAGGATTCTTTAAAAAAGACAAATAGAGGCATGTATTTGTTTTTTGTTTCCAGGTTATTTTTGAATTGCTTTAACTGTACTAGCGAGTGTTAAATTATAGTTATTTTGCAAAAACCCTTCAACTAACTTTTGATCTGGCTGCTGTGTCATGACTTAAAGGTCACCTATTGTGCAAAATCCACTTGTTCATGTCTTTTCTACATCAACATGTGTCCCCTCTGTGTAAAGAGATTCTGAAAGTTTCAGGAAAAAAGATTTGTTCACTTTTTGTCCTGATCCATTTATGTAAAAACCTGTCTGAAAATGAGCCGATCAGATTTTGGCCACTTTATGTCATAATCACCTGAATCTCCTCCTAGAGCACCATTGTTTTTCTTAACCAAATATCTCTCAGAGGGGCGTGGGGAGTGGATCCTTATTTTCATCTAAAGTAAACGACACAATCAGCACTTTTGAAACAGGGCTGAAACAGAGGGGTTGAGGGGTTTATGGGATATATATATAGATATATAGATATATAGATAGATATATATATATAGATAGATATATAGATATAGATATAGATATATATTTATTTTGATGAAAAACAGTATAATAGGGGACCTTTAAGGCCTATATTAAAAAGAACAAACTGTTCAGAAGAGATGTATACCAAACAATGAAAAGTCCTTTATTGCCATCAGAACATGAGTGAGAAAACCAGAGACAAAATCGGAGAGAGTAAGGAGTCAACTGTACAACCAGCATCCACACAGGCACACACACACAGGCACACACACACATAGAGAGCAGCCAGCAGCCTTTCAACAGGACGCGAGGGGTACAGATACATGAGGATATACAGTACTCACACAATGAGGTATAAAGGTAAACACAAACATACCGGTTAGGGCTTCCTCCACTCACACGCATGCAACTGAACCAAGGTACAAATACTCAAGTGCTCGTTCATTCTTTAAAAACACAACATACAGGTGAGCAGAAATGTATGACAGCAGCATCTGGGTCAACTCAACCAAACTCCCATTCATCTGTCTCTCAAAACCTTTGGTCATGTGGACGCTTGCTTGTCATGCACAATATTGCCCTTGTAATGTAATACTTTGTAAGCGAAGAAATGGGTCCTTTTCTGACTCCACCGATAGAAACTTGGGCTTTCTTGTGGGGGCGGGGGATGTTTTTGAAGTCACAAATAGTTTCTTTTTCAAGACGTTAGTTGGACATTCAATGTGTACATTAGCAGCAATTCTAGTGAATGAAACAATGGCTTTGTAAGTCAGATTAATAAACACCCTTTTCCTCATGCACAGGACAGGCACCACCTACTACTAAATGCCATGCAAGTTAGAAAAATAGACTGCAAACTCACAAGACAGAGAAATCAAAGTTCGTTCTCCAGAGAAGAGGTTGATTTCACTTCAATTTTTTATTTCATATTTTCTAAAGATGTGGAAATAGCAACAAAAAAAACTTGAGAGCGGTAACCAAGACAACAGTAACAACATGAGTAGAGAGCCACCGAGGTTTTTCGAGTCCCTCTCTTACGCCATTTTGCCAACCCAAACTTCCAGGTACAAGACGGGACACCTCGCTTGTTTTTGTTGTTGTTTGCGCTCCTCTACTCCTGCGACCTACGCGCACCTGGTGTGTGTGTGTATCCTGTAAGTGTGGGCCTGTGTGTCATGTGGCTCTCGTGTCATTTGAAGCTGTCCCACAGTCCGCGGGTTTCCAGGCTCCCTCTCCCCCACCCCACTAGCAGCACCTGTCCCAGAAAAAGGTGGTCGCCCCTAGTGTGCATCCGGAGCTGTGCGCTGCAGTGGTTTTGACAAGACACAAGTGTGGCTGGAAGCTAGCACTGCCGCCCCCCTCCGACACAGAGAAAGAGGCACGGTATAGTTCTCTTTAAGTCTAAATCTATAGTTTCAAGTCTGCCGTCGGTCTGGTCTCAGCCTGTCCTGTTTACAAGGCTATATGGGAGCCACCATGGACCCTCAATAAGAGCTAAATCAGGAAAGAGGAGGAAGACACCCCCTCAGGCCCGTTGCTATCAGAGATGCCTCACTGTGCGACCCGCCCAGGGCTACGTTTTGTTACCTCTTCCTTCCCAGTTTTGTTTTGTGGTTGCCAAAGATCTCACACAAACACACACATACGCGGGCACGTATGCACCCCTACGCCGTCCATTCTACTCGGAATGAGAACAAGCGCCTTGAATTTTGTGTTTGGCACCAGACTTTCTTCCTCACGTTGGCCAGCCACTCTTCCTTTTCTGTATCCTTTTTTCACTCGTCACTCCCTCACAGGTCTGTCTTTTTTATAACCAAAAAAAAAAAACTGGAAGAACACCTCTCCCTCGTTTTCTTCCTCTTAGGAAACAAAAGCAAACTTAATGGAAAAACTCAAGTTTTTTTTTTATTATTTTTTTTTTTCAAATTCAAGGCACAATGTCTATCAATATTCCAATCTGTCTGTCTGTCTGTCTCCACTCCCAGGTTCAGTGTGTGAACGTCGCGTCACATAAGCTATTGGACTATCTGCTTGTACGCCGCTCCCTACAGCTTACATCTCTCTCGTCTGTACTTTAACACTGTGAAGAGACGCGTCTGTTTTGGTTGAGAGAGCGACCGCCGAGTCCGAACCAGTGATAAACAATGAACAAAATAAACATAACGAAAAGACACAAATAAAGACAACCGTTTGAAAAACAACAAAAAAAAGTCTCGTCCTGTTTCTTGTATTTCAGTATTTTTAAAAATCAAGTCATATCCACCAGCTCTTTTTTGGCAAGCTAGTTTTTTTTTTTTTTTTTTTAAATAAGCACTAAGTACTGATAGATAGGATAGCATACACCGTTAACGTGTGTTTTTAAGTAGATGCGTTTGTCGTTTTTTTGTACTTTTATACTCTCATAGTAGGAATTCAGGTATTTTGTCAGGTACTTTTCACTCATCAGTTTAAGGTTTAAGTTAATGCAAGCAGGGACAGAGTTTGCCATGGAGTCTTGCTCTAGACTTGGGTTCGCGAGGGGCAGGGCCGTCTCTTTACGAGACCCCGTTGACCAAGGTCAGGGTCTCGCTGGCCGAGCTCATGCCTTTGGGGGAACCCATGGAGGGCGTTCGCTCATCCTTTGTGTCGCTGGTCCCGTTCTCCTGTGGGGAACAAAAAGTGACAAAGGTGAGAATGGACCAACAATGTAATTTACGTCAATGTAATAGTTCTTGTTTTCGTGCCAAACTGTTGTACAGATGTAGCACTTCATTTCAGACGCCTACCCGTGCGGGTCCGTGATCTGCACGCATTGTAACAACAATAACATTATAAATAGTAACATAGCTGAACATGGTATTGCACATTTAGCTTTGAGTGTTACTGACCTGAGATGTTTTTATTACATGAATTAAGGTGACTGAGGCTTTTTAACATAGACTTTTCAGTGTCCCACATTTTGCACAGAACTGTCCTACATTAGGAAATGCAGATTGTCTTTGACAACTTGGCACTAAGAGTACTGATATGTCTACCATTTCTTTTATGAGTGTAATATCTGCATTTTCTCTTTTGGTTTGATTAGGACACATCCTGGGGATTGTGTTTACAAACATTGACCATACCATTCACCAGCCCCCAGCCCCCTATGTTGCCTATACTGTATGTTGCGAACTCTTTGTTTAAAACTAATCGGCTATCGGAATGTGTGGAGGAAGTCTCCCAAGGGGGATGGTCACATTCCACAGCTCTCCCCCCACCTCCTGTGATCTCCCAACCCACAGTCTGTAGGTTTGTGTTCGCATATTTAAGCTGTCGCACTTCCTGTTGTTTCTATCGCGCATTGCCGGTATGAAAGGGTCTGTGCCGGAAATATCAAACATTTAATAAAAGTGAAAAACAATGAACAAGACGTACGTA